GCTACTCGGGAAACTGAGACAGGAGAATCTATTGAACCTGTGAGGTAGAAGTTGCGGTGAGCCAAGATCAAGCCATTGCGCTCCAGCCTGGGAGACAGAGCGAGACTCCATCTTAAACAAAATTTAAAAAAATTAAGGTTGTGATCACTGGCTCCTAACCACTGGTCAGTGGCTTAATAAAAACCTAAAGCGGCCGGGCGAGGTGGCTCAAGCCTGTAATCCCAGCACTTTGGGAGGCCGAGGCGGGTGGATCACGAGGTCAAGAGATGGAGACCATCCTGGTCAACATGGTGAAACCCCGTCTCTACTAAAAATACAAAAACATTAGCTGGGCATGGTGGTGCGTGCCTGTAATCCCAGCTATTCAGGAGGCTGAGGCAGGAGAATTGCCTGAACCCAGGAGGCGGAGGTTGCGGTGAGCCGAGATCGCGCCATTGCACTCCAGCCTGGGTAACATGAGTGAAACTCCGTCTCAAAAAAGAAAAAAAAAAAAAAAAAAAAAAAAAACCTAAAGCTGTCCTGAGGCCTGGCTGTGGATTTGTAGCACTAATGGGTCAGCCACACTGGTCTCTGTGGGTCACAAAAAAAGCCAGTTCCTCCAACGCTGGGGCGGCCTTCTTCCCCTCTCTGGATTCCGCCAGGCCCCAGACGCTTCGCATCCAGCAACAGCGGCTCATTCGCTTTGCAGTCAATCAAAGGCCCAACAGACTCACCCGCCCCAGGAAAAGCTGTGATGAAACAGAAATGTCCCGAAGGACGTCCTCCCTGTCCCCATCAGGGCAGGCCATTTGGTCCGGCTGTCGTTGCTGCCTGGGCTCCTTTACACAGGCGCGCAGCCTTTTATGTTTTAAAACACCGCTACCTGGATGCGCTTAACTCCCAACCGGAGGCTTCTCCTGCAGGGAGGTTAAAGGTCAGAAAGGCCGGTTTTATTTAAATTCTGAATTCCCCAGCGTGTGCAGAACACGGAGGAGCACCAGAGAACAGGGATAGCCCGAGCACAGGGGTCCCTGCATGGGGAGTTCTCAGGTTCCGCCTCCTGCCTGGCTCTGTGGACCCGGCTGCCACCCACCAGACAGGAGGAGGCTCCATGTGACCGGGGCACAGGGACCCCGCCACCAGCCCTTTCTCCCCCGCAGCTGTCGCCCACAGCCCTTGCAAACCCCAAATCTATGGAGCCCAGCCCTCCTGCGCTGCAGAACTCGAGCCCAAAGTGTTATTCTCAGCTGTCAGAAGCCCCTGGGCACAGGCTGGCTCCAGGGAAGCCAGACCCCACCTCTGCCTCAGGCCTGGGAGATTCCACTGGGAGTTGAGAAGGTGCCCCACGGTCAGCGAAATTTGGGAGACGATGCTCAGCACCTTAAAAGGCTGCCAGAAGTCCTGCTGCAGAGCCCAGTTCAATCCTGTGCAACCTCCATCTCCTGAATGCAGCTGATTACACAACTCCCTCCCTCCGGTTCCAAAGCCCAATGGCTGTGTTGCCGGACTCGCTTTCTTGCAAACACCAGCCTGGGGAGCTGATTAAAACACGGAGGCTCCAGCCCAGAGGTGGGTCAGGGGCCCCTGCAGTCTTTTTTTTTTTTTTTTTTTGAGACGGAGTCTCCCTCTGTCACTCAGGCTGGAGTGCAGTGGCAGGATCCTGGCTTACTGCAACCTCTGCCTCCCAGCTTCAAGCGATTCTCCTGCCTCAGGCTCCCAAGTAGCTGGGACAACAGGCACGTGCCACTACGCCTGGCTAATTCTTTGTATTTTTAGTAGAGACGGGGTTTCGCCACGTTAGCCAGGATGGTCTTGATCTCCTGACCTCGTGATCCGCCCACCTCAGCCATCCAAAGTGCTGGGGCCCCTGCAGTCTTGATAACATTGGGGAGCCTGCCACCGCGGCCAGGCACTCCTTAAAGCAGCTGTTGGTCAGGCGACTCTGCTTTCTAAAGTAAGCTGCAGGGAAGACCTTACCACGAGCCGCTCACGAGGGGGCGTGGCAGGCCCACGAGAGGCCCAGCAGTGTGGGAGGGGCCAGGAAAGAGGTGGGCGCTCGCCAGGGCCACACCCACTCGCCGCCGTCCCTCCGGGCAGCGCCTGGGACCCAGCACAGAACTGCGGGCAGCAGCGCTCCTGACACAGCCCTAGCTCACTCGGTGTCACTCTCAGCAATCTTAACCCGACGTGAGATGAACAGAAACTCTCCAGGCTCACCGCAGGACTCAGAATCAAACTTTCCCCAGTAAATATGATTGTGATCGCCTTTCTCATTTGCCAGAAATTAGGGCACTGTTGTTAGTGCTGTTAGTAAGCTTGAAACTATTACAAACCCAATCCCCAAAAAAAAAAAATAGTGACAAACTCCAGGAAGCCTGGCATGGCCTCAGCCAGCCCCTTCAGCTCCCAGTGTCCATCTCAGCTGCCAGGGCCAGAGCAGCCAACAGCTGTGGTCCAGGGGACATATGGATGAAGGTTGCCCAGAACAGGCAATGACTGTGTGGCCAGGGAGGGCTCCTGAACACTTGGCTGCCCAGGCCAGAAACCCAGGGGTCTTCCAAGTCAAATTCCTCTCTCCCTCTCTTCAATCTGCTTCTCTTCTCCAACTGTGAGAACACCTCTGTCCCCAGAGCCCTCTAACAGCCACCAGTCCTGCCCCAATCTGACCTCTGTGTCTCTTGCCTAACCCTGCAGTGACTTCCCAGAACTCTCAGGATGCAGCCTCGAGTCCTGAGCGAAGTCTGTAAGCGCCCTGACAGCCCAGCTCTGCCAAGGCCCAGCCACATTGGCGCTAGCCGGGCTCAGCCTCCACCACGCTTCCCCAAACACACGTGTCCCACAGCTGCCCTTGCTGCCCAGACTGTGTCCTCGCTGCCCTTGCCCAGCTTACTCAGCCTTTCTCCGGCCTGGGCACCCTCTATTACAGCAGTGATCAAGTGATGTACAACAGAGTCCCCAGCAAGGGCTTCCAGGACAGGCCTTTTTCTTCATCCGTCATCCTCAGTGCCTGGCACAGGTCCTGCCACGAAGTAGGCACTCAGTAAATGCTTTCCAGACAAATGAAACAATTGCTGTTGGTTGTGGGGATTTATGTTTGTAGAATAAAGGACAGAATCCTCATCTCAGTTCCTCCCTCGTAAGGCTACTTGGGGCTCACACCTCTTGCTCTTTCTTTTCCCTGGAAAGCAATGCCCTCTCCCACACTATACACCTGGGATGGCTCTGAGTTTGAAGACAGCAAGGACAGGCTGCTCTCAAGGAGGCAGAGGGCAGGCTTCCTGCTCTCCTTGACATCTGAGACCTCCCAGGACAGCATCAAGGATAGTGCAAGTGAAGTAGCAGAGATACTTGAATATGGACATTGAAACCTGCAATTTCAAGATCTCCTCTTCCTTGTACTTAAAAAGTGCCAGGGGGCCGGGCGCGGTGGCTCACGCTTGTAATCCCAGCACTTTGGGAGGCCGAGGCGGGTGGATCACGAGGTCAAGAGATCGAGACCATCCTGGTCAACATGGTGAAACCCCGTCTCTACTAAAACTACAAAAAATTAGCTGGGCATGGTGGCGTGTGCCTGTAATCCCAGCTACTCAGGAGGCTGAGGCAGGAGAATTGCCTGAACCCAGGAGGCGGAGGTTGCGGTGAGCCGAGATCGCGCCATTGCACTCCAGCCTGGGTAACAAGAGCGAAACTCCGTCTCCAAAAAAAAAAAAAAAAAAAGTGCCAGGGAAAAATGAAAAATAACCTGTGGAATAAACCAGGAAATCTATCAGTGGAAAAGCCTGTGGGTCCAGGCACAAGGCTGGACTCCAGGGCGGTGCTGGCCCCCCAGGGACTTGGGGACATGGCTTGCACAGTCCCCGCCCTGGGGACAGACACTTGGTCTGAGGGGCAATTTTCACTGGCTAGGCCAAGACTCCTTCATTGCAGGAAAATAAAACTGGTGCTTTTCAACAACACATCAGCCCAAACCAAAAATCTCCTTGTGGATCTCTGTGGAATCCTTTCATTCTCAGCTAGCATTTCTAGTCAATAAAGCATAAGGAACAAATATAAGTAATCATTTTTATTTTTATTTTTTTATTTTTTAAGACAGGGTTTCACCATGTTGGCCAGGCTGGTCTTGAGCTCCTAACCTCAGGTGATCCACCTGCCTCGGCCTCCCAAAGTGCTGAGATTACAGGCGTGGCCACCACGCCCGGCCAGTAATCATTTTTAAATAAAGCAAAAATGAAAGTTGTCTGATTCTGAAACTCTTAGAAAGTCCCACCCACAGAGGCAGTTTCCATCTCAACTGGTGAACTTTTAAAAATGGGGAAGGAGATTTTTTTTAAAAATTGATATGTGTTTGGTGTACGTTACAGGTTAGGGGGAGTGGACAGCTGGTAGTCTTGTGAGTTGGAGCTTTGGAACAAATTGCTTTCCCCAGATCTCAGGGCCTGTGCCAACCTGTACTTTCTCTTAGTTTGTTTTCTGGATCTTGCTGTTGCCCAGACTAGACTTGAACTCCTGGCCTCAAATGATACTCCTGCCTCAGGCTCCCAGGTAGCTGGGACAAATTTGTGCATGCCACTGTGCCCGGCTAAGATATAGAATAAATTGGGAGGAATAACTAGAAGACTAGGGTGGCCTCGCTCCATTATATACCCCTGTTTATACAATTGGAGTTTAATAGGCAAATGTAATTCCTGCTTCTCTGTCCCTTGGAACTTCTCTGTCCCTTGTCCTTCACAGGGGTTTCCCCTTAGAAGACTCCAGTGTGTCTCATCCCATCCTGGCATCTGCTTCTTGAGAGGCTGAGCTAACACACCAGTCCTCAAGCACGCCTGGGGCCAGTCTCTGAATTGTGGCCTGCCGTCTTCAGGAATCAGTCTCTGAAGTCACATACACAACCGCATTGCCACCCACCCCGCCCACTCACCCACAGGTTTAATTAAGATCACATTTCAGCGGCAATTCTAAAATTGGTGACTGAAGCATGGAATTTTCAGAACTTACCTGGGATCCCATAAGAATCTTTGTGTAATAGTCGGAGGCATGAAAACTCCCATTACGGTAAGGAGACACCAGAAAGCATCTTCTTGTTTCAGGTACAGGAGGGAACCTACAAGCAAAGGGAGATGAGCACCCAGGCACAGACAGCTGCTGCCACAGTCTCCACAGCGACTGTCTGCGTCAAGCCACTTTCTCTCTCATGGCCATAACCATTTCTAGTTCAACAATAAAGAATTATGAGGGCCTGGCTTAATGGCTCATGCCTATTATACCAGCACGTTGGGAGGCCAAGACAAGAAGATCACTTGAGACCAGGAGTTCAAGACCAGCCTGGGCAACACAGCAAGACACCATCTCTAAAAAGCAAAAATCAGCCAGGAGTGGTGATGCATGCCTGTAGTCCTAGCTACTCTGGAGGCTGAGGCAGAAAGATCACTTAAGCCCAGGAGGAGGAGGCTACAGTGAGTGTCAATCACACCACTGCACTCCAGCCTGGCAACAGAATGAGACCCTGTCTCATTAAAAATACCAAAAAAAATGAAAGGGGCATTTCCTAAAATTTGAAAAGGAAAGCTACTTCCCCCCACTTTCATTTGATTTTTGATCAAAGATGAAATTGTTTCCCAATGATCAACCAACCTCATTTAAAAAAAAGTTTTCATTTTAAGACTTTTTTAAGTTGATTGAGTTTCTCAAGATGTGCCAAAGAATCCTTTTATGCCCCAAAAAACCAGATGTGAATGTAAGTCACACAAAATACAGATGGCTTAAAACAGCTTTTCCAATGCCAGCCTGCTTCCAGGCTGAAGGAATGAACTGGGATGCAGACGAGGGCACTCCGGAGGAGCTGTCTAACAGCGCTGTGTCTGCTGCATGCACAGCAGGGGAAGGGGACCATGTGTCTCAGTTGCTATGTTGTTCGTAATGGAAATGAGTCAGCGATTTACATGCTGTCACTCTTCAAGAGGATACTTATCAATAGCCCTGCTATAGCTCCAAGTGGGCATCTGGAGCAGGAGGATGGACAGACAGAAGTGAGGGGAAGGCCCCTGTTACTCAGCTGAAACCCAAAATCTCTGCCCATGCCGCGAAGCTTATGAGCAAAACTCATAGGAAAACCCCTGAAGCCATTTCTCAGAATTGTATTTCTTAGACAAAACCATAATGAACTCATTTCAAATTCAATGGACAAACAGTCCTGGGACAGGTGGGAAAGGGATGTCTTAAGTAGGCAAGGATGGGATGGAAAGGAGAAAGGTGACCACTGGCAGAGACAGAGGAGAGAAAACAGCACACACAGGCACCAAATCCACAGCACTCGATGGCGCCAGAAGGCATAGAGAGTCTGAAAACGGCAGAGCCTTTGAGGACATCACTTAAATTCACCAATATCCCAGATGATAGGCCTGAATCACAATGGTCTAGACAAGGCGACAGTTGTCCTGCTGAAGTTCTAGCTGCTTCTGAGCACCAGGACCCTGAGTTTTAGGGGTTTCCAGCCTCCAGGAAGTTTTAGATTGAGTATACAGGGTGAATGGTAGATTTAAGCAAAACAAAACTGCTTTATTGGGTAGGATCCTATTTACAGGTTTTTAAAAATGGAGACTAGGAGCAGCACCTTCTCAGGGCACACAGAGAAGCTGCCCTGTCCTCACCACCGCAGAGACAACAACTTCCTGGAAACCATTAAGTTTCAGGTCTTAACCAAATAACATTCCAGCTTAAAACTCTGTGTTCCTGTAATACTCTCATTTCAGACACAAATAGAAAACCCTTACCTGGAAGTCAATACCTGGCATGGAACAGGAGCAAAAAGGCCCATGGGCAGCCAGGACAAATGTCAGCACTGAGAGGCAGAGTGCTGTGGCTCACGCCTGTAATCCGAACACTTTGGGAGGCCGAGGTGGGAGGATCACGAGGTCAGGAGATAGAGACCATCCTGGCCAACATGGTGAAACCCTGTCTCTACTAAAAATACAAAAAAATTAGCTGGGTGTGGTGGCGTGCACCTGTAGTCCCAGCTACTTGGGAGGCTGAGGCAGGAGAATTGCTAGAACCTGGGAGGCAGAGGTTGCAGTGAGCCGAGATCACGCCACTGCACTGCAGCCTGGTGTCTGGTGACAGACAGACTCTGTCTCAAAAAAAAAAAAAAAAAAAAAGAAATGTCAGCTTATGCATGGCTTATACAATTCCTAAGGTACACATGCAGAGCTTTTTCATTCTTACTTTATCAGTATCTTCTTTTTTATTTTTTTTGAGACAGGGTCTCACTCTGTCACCAAGGCTGGAGTTTGGTGGTGTAATCATGGCTCACTGCAGCCTCAGCCTCCTGGGTTCAAGTGATCCTCCTGCCTCAGCCTCCTGTGTAGCTGAGACTACAGGTACAAGCTACCACACCCAGCTAATTTTCTTTTTTTTTTTTTGAGATGGAGTCTCGCTCTGTCATTCAGGTTAGAGCGGAGTGGTGTGATCTCAGCTCCCTGCAACATCTGCCTCCCGGGTTCAAGCAATTCTCCCACCTCAGCCTCCTGAACAGCTGGGATTGCAGGTGTGTGCCACCACGTCTGGCTAATTTTTATATTTCTAATGGAGAGATGGGGTTTCACCATGTTGGTCAGGCTGGTCTCGAACTCCTGACCTCAGGTGATCTGCCTGTCTCGGCCTCCCAAAGTGCTTCTGGGATTACTAGGTGTGAGCCACTGGGCCTGGCCAATTTTTTGTCTTTTTTGGAGGGATGGGGTTTCACCGTGTTGCCCAGGCTAGTTTCAAACTCCTGGACTCAAGCATTCCTCTTGCCAAAGTGTTGGGATTACAGGTGTGAGCCACCACACTCAACTTTTATCCATATTTCTTATTTTATTTTATTGCATTTTAGGTTTTGGGGTACATGTGAAGAACATGTAAGATTGTTGCATAGGTACACACATGGCAGTGTGATTTGCTGCCTTCCTCCCCTTCACCTATATCTGGCATTTCTCCCCATATTATCCCTCCCCAACTCCGCACCCCCCAGTGTCCCTCCCCTATTTTCCCCCCACAGACCCCAGTGTGTGATGCTCCCCTCCCTGTGTGCATGTGTTCTCATTGTTCAACATCCGCCTATGAGTGAGAACATGCAGTGTTTGATTTTCTGTTCTTGTGTCAGTTTGCTGAGAGTGACGGTTTCCAGGTTCATCCATGTCCCTACAAAGGACAAGAACTCATCTTTTTTGTTGGCTGCATAGTATTCCATGGTGTATATGTGCCACATTTTCCCTGTCAAGTCTATCATTGATGGCTGTTTGGGTTGATTTCAGGTCTTTGCTATTGTAAACAGTGCTGCACTGAACATTCATGTGCATGTTTTTATCCATATTTCTAACAAGCTTGGTTACCTACTTTCATTACTCAGAGAGGAATATAAATGAACTGTAAGGACAGCAGAAAGCTTGCCAGCCAGGTAAGAAGCTGTCAGAGCCACGTGCAGTGATGGGAAGAGCTTCATGGGGAGCAGACCTGAGTCCTCCCGAGGCCTCATCCCATCCCTGCACAGCTCAGGAGGATGAGCCTGGATCATGAAGAAAACGTGAGAGGCTTTTCAGCATCCTCTGCCTATGAAAGTATGTAAGACCTGTTCAGTATTCTAGTTGAAAAGGAGACAAGTTTAAGTCCATCAGGGGCTAAGTTTCAATCGATTGAATAATTGTTTGGGGAAACTTCTTGATTCAGAAAAAGATCCTGTATACTGTATAAACTAGGGATGACCACCAATTTCCACTCCATGCATTATTAACTAAAAAAATCCAACTTCTGACCAAAACCTGAGTGTGACGAGGGCAAACAGAAAAAATGAGACTCCAAGTGTTTCAAATGAATTTAACTTTTGTTTTCTTAAAACTTTCTGAAAGCATGTTGTTTCTCTGTTTTTCTAGAAATGGGGATATTGTGTCATGAACACTGGCTTGCTGCAACAACTTTTTCCCTTAAAATATTGATTTTTCTTGGCCAACTGGGAAGGGAGGGAGCTGCCCGGCAGCACCAGGGCCTACAAGTTGCCTGATGGCAAATGGGAACATTTTACGCCGCACACTCACCTGTTTAGGTCTTGGCAGTACCTGATATCTGGATTCCGCCAGGAGAAGGTGAGGAGGACGCCGCATAATTTCTGTATGCCTTCTGAGGTGGGGCAGAGTCATGTTTGTTATTGGGCAGAGTTCGCAGCAAATCCAGCTCAATCTGCTTGGAGGCCGGGTTCTGTTTTTCCAGCACCTTCTACAGCAACGTCTGGAAGTGTCCAGGCCCAGTGTTGGCCTTGAACTTCCTGGTGCCATGGTCCACGCACCATTTCCACACCTTGGAATGCTGCTCATGGGGAAAGCCTGCACGGATCAGGTGTTTTTTTAACTCTAGAGAGCACATCACCTCCCTGTTCACTGTACTTGCAAAATAGTTTTCCTACTTGACCCCAGTGGAGACTTCAGGTTTTCTGCAGGGAAGAGTCTTCAGGTCCAATGCACGGACCTTGGCGACCAACGTCTCTTCCTCATCATCCTCAGGTACAGTCTTGATCCCATAAATATTGCATTCACTGTTGGTAAAAACAAAAGGAAAAATTTAAATGACAAAGTTTTAGCAACAAAGACCAATGCAATAGAAATAGCCTAGAAATCAATCCATGCACACTTGGTACTTTGAACTGTTAGAGGCATCTTGGATCAGTGAGGAAATAATTGACTTCTGAGTATATGAAGCTAAAACGACTGTCTATTGACAGTGCCTGAAAGGTACTGCTAGGCACAAAGCAGAAGCTCAGTAACAACCTGGACAGCAGCAAACCTCTGTCCTCCAAGGACAAGCGCCATCCGGGGCCAAACACCCTTGGAGACACATTATTGGCAAAAAGAAGGGGGCCAGGTGAGGAACGCCTTGGGGATAGGTGAGACCAGTAACTACAGACATGTCTGGGGTCAGCTGGGGTCAAACTGTAGCAGGAGCAACCTCGAGAAACAGAGCTCCCGAACACCGAATGGGGAAGGAAGAAGCCTTTATGACAGCCAGGAGCTGAGGAATAATTTGTCCAAATTCCACTCATCCCACAAAGGAAGGTTCTGCCTTTATATAGGCTTACAC